CCTACCAGTTCGCACCAGTTCGGTAGAACCGGTTCATCAAATCTACTGAACCGGTTAGAAGAGGTTCCACCAGTGGACCCGGAAAGCAGACCACACCTACAGAAGAGGTTCCAAAAATTTTTGAAACCCACCACTAGTTCTGGCTTCTTTTTCTTGATAGCTTCCAACACTGAGAATGTTCTCTGACCTTCCCCCAGATCAACCAAGTTATGGCAGCATTACATGCAGCCTGGATTAGAAATAATTTTTTAAAAACCTTAGTACCTTGTGTCATAAGCTTTTATTATTATTATTTTTTCCAAAAGGAGCATTAAAAAAAACCTGAAATAGAATTTCCTAAAAAAAAAAAAGGAGATGAAACTCAGATGTTCCAATCCAGAGTTTGTTTCAACCACCACATTATTTGGTCTATGAGAAAGTGAAAATTAAAAAAAAAAAACAAATTAAAAATATATTGTTTTTACAAAAGGAAGAAAGAGTTTCCAAAATCCTTACTATTCGGCTAAGCCAATAATCACAGAAAGCTTTCCGAGAGAACAATTAATTTTGGCTGTTTGGGAAAAACCAAGAGAACAGCATTCTTAATGGCTTGCCCTTATCAGTAAGAGTCCGATAATTATTTTTCTCCGACATGTTTTTAAAAAATCATTTTTTATAGAGCATAATTTAAGCAGTGTTTGTTCTAGCTAGCAGTCTCCCTTTCCATTGCTGCAGTGAGGATGGAAAGCATCATTTCATTTGGTTCAAGACTAAGGAATATCCATAATTGAGAAAAGCTTGGTTTTCCTGGCCAAAGGGACTAGAATCCAGGGTATCAAAGGGTGCCTGAAATCCTCAATCAGAATTGTCTTCACATCCATCGCTGCCTTCAGGATCAGACTGAAAGAAGCAAAACATTTTAATTTTTCAATGGAGATTCTCCATCACCCAGGTCATAATAATCTCAAAAGTGGTTCCCCCACATCCCACCCAAAGGCTTTCTTGGGTTTTTTTTTTTCTTGAAAATATTTCGCTTATCATCAAAGAATAGAATAGAATAGAAGTAGGAGAGAAATAGAAAAGAAATAAAAAAGAATAGGAATAGAATAGAAATAGAATAAAAATAGAATAGAAATAGGAATAGAAAAGAAAATAATAAATAGAAAAAGAAAATAATAGGAATAGAATAGAAGAGAAATAGAAGAGAAATAGAAAAGAATAGAAATAGGAATAGAAAAGAAAAGAAAAAATAGAAAAAGAAAAGAATAGGAATAGAATAGAAATAGAATGGAAATAGAAAATAATAGAATAGGAATAGAAAAGAAAATAATAGAAAAAGAAAATAATAGGAATAGAAGAGAATAGAAATAGAAGAGAAATAGAAAAGAATAGAAATAGGAATAGATAAGAAAAGAAAAAATAGAAAAAGAAAATAATAGGAATAGGATAGGATAGGAATTCTTTATTGGCCAAGTGCGACTGGATACACAAGGAATTTGTCTTTGGTGCAGAAACTCTCGGTGTATATAAAAGAAAAAAAATACATTCATCAAGAATCATAAGATAGAAGCTTCTCGTCCAAGAAGCTTAGTTGAGAGGGGACCTCAATATGAGCCTCACCACTTCTACTCCAGCCCCTTCACCACTGAACCCCCCTGGTTCTTGGCCTGAGGAGGAGGGATCGTCTCAAAATCATTTCCCCTTACCTTGGCATCTCTGGTATCTTCCTGCAACCTCGAGATGGTGGAATCAAACTGATGGTTGAAGAGCGTCTCCAGCCAACTCATCATGGACCTCTCTTCCTTCTCCGTCTTGATAATGGTGGGATAGATGTGCTGCTCTTTGAAAGCCGCAATCTTCTCCTCTTCTTCTGCCCATTCCAGGGCTTCGTGGAGGCCGTCGTCCCCAAACCGCTGGTTGTAGCTCTCAAAGTGAACCCGTTCCAAAATCAGGCCCAGCCCAGGGGCTTTGGGAATGTCCACCTTCTCCTCTCCCCAGCTCTGCTCCATAATGGATTTGGCGGCATGGCCCTTCACGATGGCGATCACCAAGCCGACCATCTTACGGATCTGGTGCATCATGAAACTCTGCCCTTTCACCTTGACCACCGCAAACTCCAAGCCGTCCCTCACGAAGGGCTCTTCGCACAGCATCTCCATGATGTAACGTTTGGCGCTGGGGTCCTTGGGGCCCTTCTGGGAGGTGAAGTTGTGGAAGTTGTGGGTGCCTTTGTAGCAGGCCAGGAGGTCGTTGACGGCCTCCAAAGTCTCGGCACTCAAGCGGTAGGTTTCATCCTGACGTGTGTCGTCCTTGTGGGCGAAGGCAAACGTCGGCAGCATGTAGGAATAGGTCCGGGCGTCACATCTGTTCTTGGAGTTGAATTTCCCTGTCACTCTTTTCAGCCCTATTTTTTTTTTAACAGACAAAACTTTAGGACTTTCTCTCCTCGCGTGGCAAAATCGAGCACACGCCTATACCCATAATGCAATGCGCCCCGTCCCCCTGAGCATGCGTGCACGACTCCTCCACACGTCCCTGTGCATGCGTGCAACACCCATAATGCAATGCACCCCGCCCATAATGCAATGCGCTGTCCCCTGCTCATGTGTGCATGACCCCTCCGCGCCTCTCACACTCATGCATGTGTGCAACACCCATAATGCAATGCACCCCGTCCCCCTGCGCATGCATGCACGACCTCTCCATGCCCGTGCATGCGTGCAATACCCATAATACAATGCACTACACCCATAATGCAATGTGCCCCCCCGCTCATGTGTGCACGCCCCTCTGCGCCACCCCGTGCATGTGTGCAACCTCCCGCACCCCCGTTAAAATTACATTTTTAATTTTAATCCCATTAAAATAAAAATTTCGACAATTTTGGCTACTACTGTATGTTTTTAAAAACAGATGCAGTGTCCTCGGGCAGAGGTCACTGGGCCACAAGGTTTTTTTTCCCCCCTAAATCCTCCCACACCCCCAAAAAACAAAAAGAACGCAAATGACCAGCTATTGGCAAGGAATATAAATCCTTCCATTCCCACCATCCAGTCAGAGTTGAAGAAGCTTTTTGGATGAGAAGCAAAATGTCTTCAAGGAAAAACAAAGAATGTTCAGTTGCCTCTTGAAAAAGCACCTTTGGTACAACCATGATCTGGATGACTGAGAATCCCCTGAGAATCCCCAAGTTTCTTGTGTCTTATGATATAATTCTAAAGTCCTGTTGCCTTACCTAAAATTCTTATATGAGAAGGTAGATGCTGGTTTATCTTCTGTAAAATATCTTCGATCAGCCAGACCTTCAAGGAAACAATCTGTCCGGCCGCAGACACACCCTGAATTTTTCCCCCCAAAAAGAAATCAAATAAAAATGAGGAACGGACTAAACAGAACTGGACAGAATCGGTACAACTGGTAGATGTCATAAAAATGCCACTGAGTCACATTTCAAAGAACGTTTGCCACTCAATTTGCAATTCACAGACTTGAAAATATTAAGTGTTAAAATTAAGTCCCAGGAAAAAAACAACTGTTCGTTCAAAAACCAACTGAATTACTAAGATCATGGCATCCGACCCTCTCAATTCCTGGTAAATGGATGTGGAAGAAATGGAGGTAGATTATATTTTCCTGGGCTCCAAGATCACCGCAGATGGGAACTGCAGCCAAGAAATTAAAAGATGCTTGCTCCTGGGGAGGAAAGCTATGGCAAACCTAGACAGCATATTAAAAAACAGAGACATCACCCTGCCAACAAAAGTGTGTCTAGTCAAGGCGACGGATTTCCCAGTTGCAATGGATGGCTGTGAAGGCTGGGCCATAAGGAAGACTGAGCGCCAAAGAATGGAGGCCCTTGAACTCTGGTGCTGGAGAAGACTCTGTTTTTTAATATGCTGTCTAGGTTTGCCATAGCTTTCCTCCCCAGGAGCAAGCATCTTTTAATTTCTTGGCTGCTGTTCCCATCTGCGGTGATCTTGGAGCCCAGGAACATAAAATCACTAGATAAGACCTAGCCGCAGCTAAACCAGAAGGGGCAAGTGCTAAAAATGTTTTCCAGGACCTGAAAATAAACCAGAGATTCCATTGGACATTGAATGGATCCTGCAAAGG